GTTGAGTGAACATGAACGAACATGACCCCCTCCCGCAGTAATTTCACCCTCAGTAGCGCGATCGGATCGCGCGATCCAAGCGATCCGATCGCGCGATCGCGAAGTCTGAACGCGCTCTTACTCCAACAAAATACCATATTTTGCTGCATTCATCTGTAATCGCCAGCTTGTTCTTTTGCACGAGTGCTTAGTTATGGGTAGAAGTTTTGACCCGAGGTAGAACAAGAACCCGCATTTCATGCTTATCGGGAGAGCGCGCGTCCGTTACATTACCATGTCCGCTCTTAGGCAGCGTTCAGACTTCGCGACGGCAGCGCTTCGATCGCGCGTTCGACGCGATCGATGCAGTAGAAAGCATGCGCATCGATCGCGCCGAGAGCCGAAGCGCTGCCGTCGCGAAGTCTGAACGCTGCCTTACGCACACAGTTTGATGACCTTCATGCGGTAGCTTTACAGCACTTCAACATAGTGGCCAGTGAGCCTTATCGTTAGATATCGACAATGAGTCGCAGGACTGAAGACTGTGCAAGATTGTAAATCGAAAAAGCAGCAGAAACTACCCTGTGACGGTGTTTTCTGAGCTCTTTCTGCTCGTTAGCATAGCTCTTACGGCGATACCTTTACAAACTTCCGTGTTCCCTGGTACCAAGACATTATTATGGTGGAAATTTTTCAACGACCCTCCCCCATCATCCGTTGACCGAGGGTCCTTGCACAAGAACAGAAAAGGAGAAAGCATGCAGGAAAGCCAACGACCTAAGCGTAAAGAGGATACATAAGCATAGCGCGCGCAGTGTTCAAGCAGCTAGAGTCTCAGCTGCAGTTCCGCATGACGTCGAACATTCTGCCCATAACTCAGCACCTCTCAAATTGCTCCATTCGACGACGTCTTCTGTTTGATGTAGAAGAAACAGGAGAGATGGATTCAACAGCATTAACTCATAAGAACTAGGATACTAGAAAAAGAAGGGCCTGATCAAAGCCACTTGCAATGCTGTACATGGAGCTTGTTGGCAGAATAGGGAACGACTATCAACATGAACCCTCATTTATTTCAACATCTCTTAGATTTCATCTTGTTTCAAATTACCTCGGAACTTCATTTATCTTTATAATTCAGTAAGGAGCAACAGCTTTCATATTAGCAGTAAATGAATGTGGTCACAGTATTGATCAGAATGATACCACGTAAACCATGTCGGGAACCATTCAGAAATAGAGGGAGAACAAATTCTGGGCCACTGGAGAATGTCGTGTCAGGAACAATGAAGACGAACTGTACGCTCATCTCTGAGACTGCTACATGCGAGATGAGTAGAAGGGCAGCTTCAGTGGTGTGCCACTTTCTGCACTCGAAAATGCGAGGCCAGATTGTAAGATACCACGGTGCTGTCTCCTAATTCTGCCCGCGCTATCCTCAAATACAGCTTTTGCGTCGATATCAAGGAACGCGCAATCGGCGGTAGAGAACCACCACCAGTGAGAGGACGCGGACAAATGGCGCGTTTGGCTTTGGTCAGGTGTGTTCCTGGCCGTGCGGCAGCGCGACAGGAGTATGAAAGCGGTATAAGGGCACCACTGCCCTATAGACCTCTTCCCGTGCATATTTGATAAGGAAAAATGGTACGTTACTACAGCTGCGCACCCATTCACCTCACATATGGCAAGGATTGAAGTCTATGGAGGTAGGCATACAAGTCGTCTTTGAATCTAAGCGCACTGCCTACGCTTATTTTTTCAGCGTGAGTTCATGACTTCAACAAGTTTCATTAAAGCAGATGAAAACCCAAATTTCTGTTCCTTTCATATCAGAACTACAGACATTCTAATGTGCGACAGCAAGCAGAAGAAATTGTGCTTAACGAACACGAACGAACGTTCTCCTAGGATTAAACAGCTATGAGAAAGTCCGAAAGAAAAATCAAAACCCTCTTGAAAGATGCTAACCTTTTGCCTGAAAGGATCATTGCTGACAACACTTTCTGCACACATTCGTCCGACACTAGCGACGAATCGATCGTTTGTCTACAGAAAAGTTTGAAGTGTGTCTCATATTCAACTGGGACAATGATAAATGAGCAGAATTGAAGAAAGTCCTACCTGATCCAAAGAACACCACTTAAGAACCCCGCCCGTCCAACCAAAATCTCATCACTCGGATAGTCTTCCTTAATAACTGCTGATAAGTTTTCGTATCATTTAAAAAATTTGGAAGCGTTATCAAAGTCGAAGGTCGCAATGATAACCTTCCGGTCCGGATCCATCTTAAAAATAAAAAAAAGCAAGTAATAGGTACCCTAGCTAGCACGTCAGATATCTTCTCGATCTTAGAAACAAGATCGTCTCTCAAATTCGGATCACTCATCTGCGTTACAAAGACGCCAAGATCACCGCACAAAAAGCGAGCCTGCTTGGATGAAGATCCTGAAAAGTAAACGAAAGGTCTATGAGAACAGCTCGCACTGTTTTAGCTTCCAAGAATACTTTGAATTCAGAAAAGTGAGAATAAATGGTACTTCTGGAAATTGAAAAATAAAAACGAAAATATAGAAAGTAATGAAGTAGATGCTGCAGTTTTGAACCAAAATGTGATCAGCATCTTCGTTGCAAAAATACGAAAAAGTTGCGCTTCTCATCAGCAGGATTGCAAAGGTTCTGTCGCGAAATCTTAGCTGTTTGCAAATGAGAGGAGCAGCACTACTCAAGCTTGCTAACTACTTGACCTTCCAGAAACTAATCACTCGCCGCGAAGTCTAATGGCACATAAATGATAAGTATGGGATTCTACGTAAGACAAGGGGTGAAGACGTGCCCCGTGTTCGAATCAGTTCAGGCGCCTTTTCTAGATATGGTAGTTCTCACCGCAAGCACGGAGAATGTACTACTTTCACAGCTCAAAAATACGTGATGAAAGCACCGCCCGCTCGCCACGAGACCGCGGCTCTGCCTGACCACGGTGAGCCCAACATCCATTTCTAACTGCTACATTATGGCGTGTTTTTTGCGCCCTTAACTTTCTCCATTTTGAGTGGTGAAATCGAAGGTGATATAAAGAAAGAGCTGGGACTAACAAGTGAGAACTCGTCCGACCACGCCCTTCCTTTGCCTTATGCAAGTATGAATGCGGTTGGGCTGAGGGTTCTAGCGGGGCATTTCGGGTGGATTTTCAATGCTTTTTCGTCACTTCTGTGATATTTAAGGTCTGTCGTTAGTAAATAAGCCGTACAAATTAGCGTTTTCGAACGCGGAGCGTGTTTTTAGGTAAGTCAGTGATGAAGAAAAGAACAAACGTATATAATCTCAGGGTAGAACCGTTTGCTGGTCCGAATTGTAGGAGCCAAAATCGAGGACGAGCTTGGCCAAGTTCAATTCTGTTGGAATCATAATG